TGCGGGGCAAACCACCAGCGTGTGCTGGGCCGAATCCTCACTGCAGTCGCAGTGGTGGCAGGCGGGACTCGATTCCCTCCTAGCGACCGAGTACAGGTACTTTCCGAAGCAACCGTGCCCGGAAAGCACCTGCGTCAGCCGGAAGGAAAGGGTCCCGTGCTGCCGCCCTGCCCACTCGGCGATGACCGGCTGGAGAGCCTCCACGGCGGCAAAGCCAGCGCGTGGAGTCTCCAGCCGGAACGACCATCTCACCATAGTGGCTCGGCGAGCGGCTTCGCGCCACTCGCGCACGTCTTCGGGCGGAGGGCGAAATCCGCCTCGGTGGACACCGTGCGGTATCCGCGTATGGCTCTGACCGCCAATATCCTCTGGGGGCGCCAGAGGCGCGCCCTATTCGGGGCGGTCAGAGCCGCCACCCACACCGGTGCACCATAAAGCGCCATGGACCGGACAACCCCCGCGTACAGCCGCCTCGTGGGAACACTGGCCCCGCCCAAATTGGGCAAAAGTCGCCCTAGGGCGGAGGCAGTGTCCACCAGCTTCGGACCAAGCTGCCGGAAGTGCTCGTCGAAGAGCCACCTACCGTCTAGGACCAGACCCAGGTACCTCATCTGGGCCCGGACCGGTACGAGGACCGAGCCGACCTCGATTGAGGCGCCGGCGGGCGGGACCACGACGGGGCCCATGAAATAATAGGGCCTCCGTCTTATCCAGGGCCACCCGTAATCCCAACGCCTCAATGCGCCCGACCACCTGGGAAACTCCCGTGGCGGCCAGGCGCGCCGCCTCCTGGAAGTTAGCCCCCCGGGCCGTGAGTAAGGTGTCGTCCGCGTAGCAGATTACACCCAGCCCGGGGGGGAGACGCCCTCGTAGGGCCCAGTCGTACCCGATGTTCCACAGGAGAGGTCCTAGGACAGACCCCTGCGGAACACCACACGACATGGCCCTGCGTCTCAAGACGCCATCTCGGTCAAGATAGTCTCAAGATAGTCTGCCACCAGCCGCCTCAGGTACTCCGGCACTCCGTGGTAGCGGAGCGCTTCCCTGATGCAGCTGAATGGCAGACTATTGAAGGCGTTGGCGATGTCCAAGGACACCGCCAACACCACTCCGCCGCAGCTCACGGCCTCCTCGGTCACGGCCCTAAGGCGCATTACGGCATCGATCGTCGAACGCCCCTCTCGGAAACCGAATTGGGCGTCCGACAGATCGGGGCCAACCTCGCAAAGGTGCCGGACGATGCGGGCAGAGAGCACCCTCTCAAAAAGTTTGCCCGCCTCGTCCAGCAACACGATAGGCCTATAGGCCGCGACCGATTCGGCAGGCCGTCCCGGCTTCTGCAGCAGGACCAGCTTCCCGCATTTCCAGCGCTCAGGGAAGCGTCCGGACGCCAGGCTAGCGTCCAACACCCCCCTGAGGTGGTCCGACATGTAGTCGAGGGCTCGGGCCATCACTCGGGCTGGAACCCCGTCCGGCCCGGGGGCGGTGTTCTTGGATCAAATCCGTAGAACAGCCGCCCCCAACTCCGATTCCCTGACGGGCGGAACATCGACCTCGCTGCCCCCCGTCGTCTCCGGCTGATGCAGCCATCGACGGGGGTGTGTGCTCCGCCCGCTGCGGGAATAGGCCCTCGACCACTTCCTGCAGGAAGCTGGGCTGGAGAGTCTCCGTAAGGGGGGGGCCCGACGTGCGGAGCTTTTGACGCACCGCACGATAAGGGCGACCCCAGGGGTCACGCTCGAGACTCTCCAGCATCTCCTCTCTACACGCATCCTTGGCGCGGCAGATGGCCAGCCTCAGAGTTTTCCGAGCTTCTCGGTACTCCTCATGAAGCCGGTCCACCTCCTCACCGACCCCGCGGTGACGTCGCCGACTACGGGTGAGGGACCTCCGGGCACGTACACAGGCCGCACGGAGGTCCGCCAACTCCTGGGACCACCAGTAGACCTCCTTCCTTGGAGGCCGACAACCACGAACGCGGGGCATGGCCGCATCGCAAATCTGCGTAATCGCATTGCAGAAGCGACCAGCCCCCATGTCGACCTCCTCGGTCGGGGCCTGCGGAGACAGCCAAGAGTAAATAATGGCCGCCTCCTCTAGTAGGTCCCTGTCGAGCTTGGCGATAGCCCACCGCGGGAAGCGGGAAGGGCGCCGCGCCGCGTGACCCCTACTGGGGTCCTGGGACCGGGAGAGCTCGAATCGGATGTACAAATGATCCGAGAGCGTCTCGACCTCTTCCAGGACACACCAGTTCCTTACTCGTGCGGCGACTGCAGGGGTAGCGAACGAAAGGTCCACTATCGACCCCCCCTGCTGTCGCACGCACGTGTTGGTGGAGCCCCTGTTCAGCAAACAGAGGCCCACCGACGCCGCCCACTCCTCGACGGCTTCGCCCCTGGCGTCCGTCGCAGGGGAACCCCACGCAATGGACTTTGCGTTGAAGTCCCCCAGCACGAGGACGTGCCCAGACACTAGTCGCCGCATCGAGGCCTCCAAGTTGTTAAGGAAGACCTCGAAGTCGTTCAATCTCCGGTTTACGAGCGACCGATTATAGGCCGACCGATTATACGAGCTGGTAAAACTATAACGATCACCTCGCCCGGTCGCAGGATCCTGCCTTTGTGTCGGAAAGACAACATTTGTTCCTCTTCACCAGCCAAACCTATGCAAGCTACTGCTGTTTCAATTGGTTAAATTCATACATATAGTAAATTTTTCTGTAAATACATACGTCTCATACATAGAACAATGTAAATGATCATATTATTATACACTGTGGCGGTATAGATATCACAAAAAATGAAATAACAGATAACACGGTTCAATATACGTCGGTTAAAATAAAAAAATAAAAAATTAGTACGAAAATACAGAAATGCAAATTTAGAACAAACTAAATACAATAAAATAATTTCCGAATTAGAACACCATTGATAACATGAGTCGGTGAACTGTACCTACACGGCAGCGTCGTAATGTCGGCGACATCAAAACGACGCCGCCGCCGCCGCCGCCTTTCTTTACATTCTTATTACCTACCTACCAATCACTTCACTTGCTTTTAAAAATCTATTTATAAAGAATGCGATTTTATTCACGTGTTTATTTCGTGAATGCTCGACTAGCTTCCGACCCAGCAGTACGCGTCACTCCTTGAAAAAGTAGTTACCTTGGTTGTCTCGTAATCTTTGTACCGCCCTTACAAAAATTCGGCAGTCTGTAGGACATACACGATTGACTCCATACGTGTCCGTAAAGCAAAAGATGCGTTTTGATAGAGTTTTCCATAAATTAACATCATAGCAGGATATTCCGCGGCTGTGAAGGTCACTCACGGCATTATGGATGTTGATATCGATAACCCAATAAAATTAAAAGACTGATAATGCACTCAGTTTCACACTACACTACACACAGAACCTAATAGTGACTTTTCAAAATAAAATTAGCAGGACTCCTTACATTACGAAGTCTTGCGCACACGATAACATTAATTGTTCACACCATTGCCGTGTATTATGACGAAAGCAATAAGACTAAACAATTATTACCACAAGAAAACTTCTCTAAACAAATATGTATCTCATAAACAACAACAATATTATTATTACGGTTATTTGTCGTGAGCGCATCTACAAGGATACGGAATAGCATAAGCTCGCCGGTGGCCAAGGGCCGACTGACTGTCCTTACTGGATGAACTAATTAAAAACGCGTGTTGCATCGTGATGACGTAATAATCAACATATTTCGTTCGATTCGGGTGTAGTAAAAGCGGCAACGTGTGATTACCGCGCCGCTGATCTATACCTACAGCTGATCGCCGCCTGAGGTCAATGTATTATTACTGCATGTACACATGATGTTGCAATTTACGAAACACAAAAATGAGTCCTGTGGCTAAACTACTGGATATATTTTGTTCATATTTTGCAAATCGCCTAGAAATTAAGGGTAGAATATGTGGCTTAAGTATTTGTGAAAGGAAATGAAACTCTCTGTATACTCACATGTTGTTGTTGTCGTCGCTCAACAAATAAATAAAACAATAACAATTATCTCAGTACACATTTATTGTTGGCATCGTCAATTTGGCACAAGAGCACCCAGCTGTGGCCAGTTGACTCCGGGCCTTGCTGGTGTTCGTACTCGTACTTCAACGTTTAACATTTATATGGAAGCCTATTTACATTGGAGACATTGTTGACATAGGTAAATAAAAATTTAATATAATTATTACTAATATTAAGTCTATTTTTCCAATTAGAAGGATTGAGTATTCTCACTGTCACGTATCATATACAAAGCATTAAATTTCATATTATCAATAATTATTTAAGAATTGTATATATTAAATACAGATCATGATAATGCGATGACGATTTTATATTTTTCTACACTGGCAACACCACTGACATTGTCCACACTGGCGGCACCACTGACATGTGTCTAACACGTCGTCACTTATCAGTGATGTTAGACGTACCAATTTATTGGTATACGCACCATTTAGCAGAGTCTTGTACCAAGTACCAACTGAATATTGTGTTGGTACGCAATAATACCAACTTCCTACATTGCTCACGCATTAAAAAAAATCTTGTGTTTAACAATATACAAGTTGTTGCTGTACGTCACAGTTACAACATTGATTATTGTAAACATTTACTGTTCATAATGATATTTATTTTTTAATAAATATATTGTTTGTAGATATGTAGATTCATATACTTCGATACCGAAAGGTACAAATATGGCGTATTTAGCTTATCTATTAAAGTAGTATTTTGTATAATATTATATAGTATGTATTCTTTCATTTGTTAACGCTTTAGTTACATTAAAATTTACGTCTAAATATAAATATCGCCACCCCAGTTCTCACTTGCCACTTACTTACGTAGACTCGCTGCGTGCGCTTAGAGAGGGCTGGAGCTGGCACTAGGGGAAGCTGTACCTTTACAACATGTTCACAGCGCGTAGAACTCATATATAAGACATTAATCGGTCCGGCTGAGCCTGCACCTCTCCCGCTTGTGCTTGAGGAAGTTGCTGTTGTAGTTGAAGGTCTCGTGGCAGCGCTCGCAGCGGAAGGGCTTCTCGCCGGAGCGCGAGTGCGTGCGGCGGTGCTTGACCAGGTCGCTGTTGTTGATGAACCGCTTCCCGCAGGCCTCGCACGCGTGCGGCCGCTCCCCGGTGTGGATCTGAATGTGCTTCTTCAGGTTCCCGTTATAGTTGAAACCCTTGTTACAAACGTGACACCGGAACGGCCTCTCGTCGCTGTGCCGTCGCACGTGAGTGACCAGGTTCGATTTCAGCTTGAACGTCTTGCTGCACACGTCGCACTCGAACGGTCGCTCCGAGCTGTGCATGCGGCCATGCTTCGACAAGTAATTTTTGGTTATGAACCGTTTCTCGCACACTTCGCACTGGTAAGGCTTCTCGCCGGTGTGCGCGCGGACGTGGTAGTTGAGGCGGTACCTCTTGTCGAAGGTCTTGTCGCAGAGGCTGCAGCGGTACGGCTCCTCCTCGCAGTGTTTCCGCGCGTGGAACATCAGACGACACTTGAGCTGGAAGCGCTTGTCGCACACGTCGCACTTGTAGGGCTTCTTGTCGGCGTGGGGGCAGGCGTGCGCGTTGAGGCGGCGCCGCTCGTAGAAGCTCTTCTTGCACGCCCGGCACTGGAAGTAAAACGGCTTGTCGTCGCCGATCATGTGTTCCACCTTCACCGCTGCTTGCACCCCATTGCTCAAGCTGCTCGAAGTGACCGCGAGAGGTTCCTCGTTCCTTGGGCTCACACCTGTATGAAGCATGAACAAGTCAGTACGAGTAGAGAGGATAGTAAGAAAAGCATTCATCAATAAATGTGGTAAAATGGTTTTCGTCACCTCCCGACACAACGTGACACATTTGGAAGATAATCACTGAGCCCCAACTTCTAGAATATTATCGTTATATTAATACGTGAACAGCACGCTTTGTACGTCTTGGACTTCAATACTTAAAGTAGCTGGGGAAGCCGAAATGTTTTAGTTTAAAATAACGCGTGCATGCATCTAGCCACACGTGTCCCGTACTTACATTGTTGATTTGTAGTGGTACGAAAAGTTTATACGATAAACGTTCGATCAAATATATCATAGGAGTTCTCCTTTTAGGAATTACTTAGAAAGTAAGTACTCTGGATAGATCAGTGACCACAGTGCAGCTCTCTCACATTCTCTCTCTCACACTCAGTCTCGCACTCTGCCTCTGTCTCATCGATCCCATACAAATACACTCGGAAGCGTCTGACCCTATGCACCGTGTTATTCGTATCAAACAGGCTCTATTAGAGCTGGTGGATCACAAGAACACGCCGGCCTCGCGGCACTAACATCTAGTAACAGAATACTTACTTGTATCCACTTGCAGTTCGTTCTTCACGATATCTAGAGGTAAATCATCATCGGACCCTACAGAGTGTGCGCCATTTTCTTTTGGGGGACAGTCTTGTACACCTGCAACACGTATCAATTAACAATTTGAAACTCCCCTCTCAAAAATCCCTTCAAAGATTAAAAAAAGAGAAGAAGCAATGATCTTCTAGAGGCTAACCAAAATCAGTCCCTCTGTTTAGGAGCTATGATGCCACAGACACAAACTTATAACTCGAGGTGTTTTTTCGTCGAGGGTTAAAATACTAAATGGTACATTCGTTGTATATCTGCTCGTAACTGTTTACACGCCGTACAATTTTAATGATACTTTTTGTTTGAATCGGTTACTGCTCCACTCGTGAGACAATCTACCTGCCTCAAACAAGGTGCTATGAAATAAAATGCCAATGATTGCAGATATGAGTGTGAAAAGAAAAACAGACAAGTGCGAGTCTGACTCATGCACTGAGAGTTCCGTAAAGTAGCACCGAGATATCTAAGTTCGTCCATCAAGGCAATCGATTAAATAATAATATTTTACTGTTCTCTCTCACACAGATAGGTATGGGGGTTACAATGAACAATCTTAATCTAGGTTATTTTGAGTGAGTCTGTGTGACAGACTGGTATCTGTACTAGGTTTGTAGAGCTGTATGACCAATTACCATTTTTTGCCCATTTTCTGAGAGACCAACTCAACTTTGTCGTTTTAAAAATGTTGTCCCAAACGTGACAAGAATAGAGTTTGTAATGGAGAAAGTAATATTGTTTATATGACAACCACAATTTAATGATAGTAGCTCAATAGACACTAGACAAAGTCGCTCAACGTGCTAGGCAAAGGGCTCTGTTCGGCGTTTCTCTAAGGGATCGCATCAGGAATCAGGTGATCCGGCAGAGAACCAAGGTGACCGACATAGCCAACCGGATTAGCAAGCTGAAGTGGCAGTGGACTGGCCATATTAGCCGCAGAACTGACAACCGTTGGAGAAAACGATTTCTTGAGTGGAGACCGCGTCTCGGCAAACGTAGTGTCGGACGCCCACAGGTCAGGTGGAGTGACGATTTGCGCAAGATGGCTGTCAGGAGCTGGATGCGAGAAGCCCAAAATCGATCTAAGTGGCGTGCAATGGGAGAGGCCTATGTCCAGCAGTGGACTGCGATAAGCTGATGATGAGACCCTAGAAGGCAAAATAGAAGTTTGTATGGAACTTTATGCGCTCGAATCAGACTTGACCTTGTCAGGTTTTGTAAAGTTTCAGAATGTATCAAGTGTTAGTTTATCCTCACCCTCAGCGTCCTCTCTCTTCACGACGACATCGACGAATACCTCCGGAGACTCGGCTTTAACATCAGCGGCGCTGTTGCCTTCGGGTACTCCCCCCATGCTGAAGTGCACCACGGCCGTCACCCGCAGCCTGCCGGTGGTGGTTGGAGCATCCTGTCGCTTTACCGATTCTAACTGTAATCAAGTTTTCATAAATTACCAAGCCAAATCTATTTTTCAGTAACGTCTGTGTAAAATTTCATGTTGATCGGATTATATTTCTTGGGATTCATGATGGCGTCCTGGGAGCCTCTTGTAGGTACTGTTGCTTCGGCGCAAATGGACCAGCTCGACCGGAGTGATACCGGGGCTCCACAGAAAACTACTGTTAAGTAATTCTTGCGTTGGTTTTCAACGAGTTAGGTCACCGGAGCCCAAACCTTCTTTGCCCTGACTCTAGGGAGAGGGAATCAAAGGGCATCGCACTCGTGACTGGTGATACTTACTTACCATCAGGTGACCCTTCTGCTCGATTGACTCTTTGTTTTAGTGTATAAATAAAAAACGACAGTCAGATTAGCCAGGAAGTAACGCTAAATAGGTTTATGCTCAAAACAATACAGCATGGTATGGTTAGACTATGTTACTGATGTAGTGGTGTGGTCTCTGAATCAAAGCTTGGCTTTCCTCATGTTCGGACTGTTCATGTATTCTATAACTGTTTACATTTATAGGTTTGATTGGTTTGTTCCATAAGACAACCTACATAATGTACAGAAATAAACTTTCAATGCAAGCAGACCCCCCCCCGGCAATGTTAACGTTATACTCAAAAAAATAGGAAATAGAAGAAGCAGTCACCGTGTTGCTGTGAAGCATCTGTGTCAACAGCTCCTCACTGCGGCGGCAGCTCGTCCGTAGCATGTAACAGTTATGTAGACTCGCAGAACAGATGTAACAGACTTGTAGTGGTCGACTGTCCTTCGTCTTCAACTGCAGTTCATAATTTTATCTTTAAAAATCTTTATACTTTTAGGCAACATGCACACACGGTGAACAATAATATCTAGTCAGTCGGTTCAGTAAACAAAACCAACTGATTAATGGCTAACTGTGACAAAGCATCATCATTGAGCCTAATCTAATGGCCTCCTCAAAACTTGTCAAACATTAGCTTTCAGGATTAGAAGGATCAGTTACAAGTGAAGCTAATACAACCGCAGCAAAATGGTAACACAACATTTGGCAAAATAAGAATTAAATAAAAATCAATTTTTGAGGCAGATATTCTTTTTATTATTTTATATTCTCATACCATAACTCATAACTTCTTGTATGTATTCGAGAAGGATTTGCAGAAATGGCAGAACATGACAATTGGCATACCTGAGGTTTAGTAAGAAAAAGGAATAAAATGAATTAATAATGATTATTAATTTAATAAATGAAAAATTAATTATTTAAAAATTACAAGAAAAGGTCAAGTTCAAGGTTCCAGTATACAATATGTGTTGACCTTTTGTGAAATGACATACAAAAATCATTCCAATTTGTGGATGTAAGTGTACACAGAGACAGTGTAAGTAAAATGAAACTTAATAATATTATTAAAATTCTACCACAACTCCTAGTCCCAAACTAAGCAGAGCTTGTACTATGGCTACTAGACAAATGATATAAATACATACATACTTTTTTTTGTAAGTACATATTTATTATACATAGAAACACCCAGACCAAATCAAACAGTAAATGTTCATGCACACTAAAGTTTGACTTGAGCAGGAATTGAACCCGTGACCTTTGGAATAGCAGTCCGTTAACAAACCACTACCCATCTGGTTGTCATCAAACTTAATGAATCATCAAAGTTTTCTGCCATCGTGCAATTCCTTCATTACAATAAATGCATGGTATTAATAGTCTTAAGTACTAATTCATATAAAACCTACTTTATAACAACAAACAGTACTTTTATAATAATGTTTTATTATGTTCACTCTCACTCAAAACTACAATAAATGTAAAGAATTTATTGAATGCGAAATTTATAATTTCTGATAAAAATGAAGTCCTTAGGTATCAATCCCACAATGCCACTTTTTTTGGCTTGCACATGCAAAGAAAACCAGCATTGATCAATAGATGAAAGGAAGATGACAAAAAAAGGCAATCAATATCCCACATTGACTGTCCTGTGAGTTGGAGTAGTGGTCACCAATCCTGACTGCTTAGCTGTGCCGTGGGTTCAATTCTTAACCAGGACAAACAATTGCCCACAATCATTTGTTCTAGGTCTGCGTGTAATTGCAGTTACAACTATAATATTTATATAAATATCAAGTTTATTAGCAGTCTGGTTGCATATTACAGGCCCTGCCTAGTTTGGGATCAGACGGGCGCGGTGAGATGTGTCAAGCATTATTATTTTCCCTTGTCATCAGCGAAGTGTCTAGCAATTTGAAGTGCTTCCTATAATATTTACCGGCGTCATATTTAGACTCTCGTACACTTCTTGTAGGTGGGTGTTGGCTATCGGATGCATTCGGACACCTTCAGCGAGACAAACCCTACACATCGATAGTTTTTCCATGTCTTAGCTTTGAGCACTGAATTATTTAATACACTAAAATACTACACTCACAAAAATAATGTATTATACCTAAGTAATACATTTATGACTTTACAAAAGAGTGATAGACTTTATCTGAGACACATTTCGCTAGACAGAGGACCGAAAAAATATCAATGGAACGACTAACAGTATATAGTAGACACATTAAACCAGATTTAATCTATTAAATCTTAAGAATTTGTTTTCGAATTCCTCAGTCTTTGACAATGACATGTATGGGAGTGTTACCAGTTTTAAAAGAGAATAAACTTCCGTTCAGTATCTTATAAGAGAAATCATAATAAAAAAATAGGATAGAAGTAAAAATCATTTCCTTAGTCACAGTTGTTCTTCCTGACGTGACGCGTTAACATTCGTTGTTATTTTTTATAGTTTAGTAAACACAGATACACAGTAGACACACGTCCTACTAAAAATTCTACTGATGAAGACTGTCCGGTTGAGAAGGGGAGGAAGTCAATACACGCACGAAAAGGACCTTTCTTGAACCTGTTACGATTTTCAATTCAATTTAATGGCCAAAGTGTTGTATTTCAAGCTGTGTCTAAGCTAGAAGGTCTAATCTAGAATTTTACAACGTGTAATTGACCCGCTGTTACCGTACAAGTTCTTTAGGTAAAAATAAATCAAAACAATCTCTTGGCGTAATTGTTCATCTTCGCTCTAATATTTATAAGTCTATTTTTTTTTGTAAAATGAACATTGTACAGTGTTATCTACTGTCAAGTACCTACCAAGTGTGTTTGATTTAAGGCCTTAAAGTTCGAGTCACTACCCATAAATATAGTCAAAGGCCGTCTTCACCTCGGCCTACTTGAATCGCGAGTGCCGCGGGCGCCATGGTCGCTACCAACACACTTTTGGCGTATCAAAGCACAAACATTCCAGCAAATTGTAAGTAAACACATGAAGTGAAGCTCTCAGGCGTTACTAACTTGTCATTACTTCAAATTACTTAATTGTTTTAATGGTCAAGTTATGTAGTTAATTTTGTTAACTCGCTTTTATTATAAGTTTGAATGGCAATATTATGATTTGAAGCCTACCTGTTGTTATGAAATCTTCAGTGGCTATTATTAAACTCCCATGTAATATAGAGACATTTATGTTGCACATTTATAAATGTATATAAATTAAAACTGGTATTACCTATGTATATTACATGGTGTGCCGACTTCCACATTCAACGAATCAGAAACACACTTCAATGCCATCTAACGAAGACACACTGAACCATGAAGTAGCTACTAATCCTGCGTCGCGCAGTTGTAGTTCTCGCACCGTATTAGTATGTATACAACACCACAACATCAACCATAGAGCCGCAGATTGCCAAGCACAATCACCTTAGGTCGCTTTCATAATGGTTGGCTAATGCATTTTTTTTTGTTTCATTGTTTTAGAAAACACTAACATCCTTTACCCATAGATGATACAATGTATAGAAAAACGTTCCCTATGACAATGAAATGAAAGAAGAAGCTAACACCTTACACAACGCACTAGTACTTAGGACCAAAGATTATAAGTATTTTTTTGCAAGTGAAGCAAAGGCATTCGTTATTCGTCCACCATAAGAATGAATGTAATAGGAGATTTATTTACGAGATTGTGGTGGGGCGGGGACCCGGATGAGAAGAACCCTGTATCGGGGATGTCCCGCCGTGACGTTAACAACGTGAAGAAATCTTGGGCGAAGATCTACGCAGACCCTTCAAGGAGTGGCTTTCTCATATTCTCTAGGTAAGGCTATTAATTGGTTCGTGTTGGTAATAGACATTGTAACATTGTGTCGAATGTCGAATCAGTCCGGAAATACTGCAGACCATAACTTGAGTTTTCGTTCGTTCCACAGATTGACGAGGCAAAAAGTTTATTGAAAGACTTGTTATGACACCTACATACAACAAAAGCATACTTTGCTCACATCTAGCAATGATAGACATTTGTGTTAAAGAGAGCCCCACATCTTATGTGGTTTTCCTTACAGACTCTTTGAGGCAGACTCTGAAAGTAAGACCTTCTTCCCATATATTGCGAACGCGTCTGAAGAAGAGATGGCACAAAACATGGTGTTCAGAGGTCACATCGTGTACATAATGGCTGCGTTGAACACCGCCGTGGAGAACGTGACGCAGCCGGAGGTGGTGGTGCCCATCATGCACAAGCTGGGACAAGCGCACCAAAAGAGGAATATACCAAGGAAACATTTTCTGGTGAGGCCTGCAGATTTTGTTTTTCAGGATCTTTAAGCAAACTGCAGATGTTTGACGGGCCTGTATACATTTCTAGTTCCGTCAGAACTAGAAATGTATAAGTAAGTTTACCAGCACTCTGGTTGCGGAGCCTTGTTTGAATTCAGGCTGACGTGTGTGAGATGTGTGAAGTTCTCATTATTATTATTTATTATCATTTCTCTTATCCACGTTTATATGTTAAGTGTAATTGCGATCCCGCTGTTTGACACAAAAAAGAACGTGCCTAGTAAGGGCGTCCTCTGTACTCCTCTCACACACATAGGCCCGTATTTAAAAGGTGTCTCGGTCGCGAATCTAGTCTTTAAACTAATTTTAAGTAGAGATTTTCTTATTAAACGTCACTTAGATTCAACGATCTTTACTCAATTGAGTGATAATTTATCTTACAATGATGTTTATGTGGATCTTTACTCAGGTATAGATTTTGACAGATGTGATCTTTGTTTACGTGAGATAAGCTGAAACTAGTCTCAAGCGGTGTTTTGTAGGGCATTCTAGGGGAAATTAAAGTGTTTCACGATTAACGGAAACGTAATTGAGAACAGACTATAAGTTCAAATCAACAGTTGAAAGTAGTGTCAACTGAGTAAAACTTAAAACGCGTTCTATAATGAGATCGATACTAAAGTTTTGATCTGCACTTAAAACTAGTTTCAGGCAATCGAAGTTCGACCGATACTTGGGAAGTCTTTTAAAATACGTGTCATAGTCCACTTTACTCTGCGTAAAATACAGGCAACCTATTTTCGTTACTATTTTACAAAGTCGGTGGCAAATAATGGCACGACTCATGACTTGTACAATATTTTTGTATCACTAGCGGTACGGGAAACAGCAGCCTTTGTTGTGCGTCGCTAGTTTAGCAGACTCAACGATTAGCAACGGCAATAGTCGCGGGTTTGATTGCAAATATTTGTATGCATTGATCTTGTTCTAAACATACACACCCTTTTTAATGCAATAAGAATGATTGACATATGAATAGTTGCAGCGATAAATGCATTTTTATGTAAACAGACCAACAAAAAATTCCAGCTTTGTTTTCTTATAGTTTGTTGCGATAATATGCAATTAATTTTACAGTGGATAAAACACTGCTCTGTCAAGGGGTGGACTCGATCAGGGAAATTACGTGAGTGTATGTAACATTTAATTTACCTCTTTAAGATTTATCTGTCATGTGGTTTCGCTGGCAGGTGATGCGCGATGTGCTGGTGAACATTCTCCAGAGCGACCTGCAGGTTGGCGAGGACGTAGTGGCCTCGTGGGTGGTCTTCGTATCCTTCATGTACGAACACATCTTCACCGTTATCAAGGACTAGTACATCTTGAAGTGTGTGAATAAATGCTGTTGTGTGGGCATAGCTTTTTGAATGTTTAAATCTACACAATCCCAATAGAGTGAACAAGAGCCCCGATCTTGCAATATAGGCAACGAGAGAGATGGATAATAGAAAATTCCCTCTATCTCTTTCTAGTCGAGCTTTGTAGTTGGCTTGGGAAATTTCTAAACACCCACCTATTCTTCGATTAAAACCATGCCCACTTCAACATTTTCAATCGCAGCTCAGCTAAACAGAGACAGAGGGAACTATCGGGCATCCGTCTCTCTTGTTGCAAGTATCGCTTCCACTTACAGGCAGCTGTACCCCGTGTTCCATCTATCATGTTCATCTCTATGTTCCCTACAGAAAACGCTTTCTCTTTTCCTGCAATAGATGCTTTAGTAAATAAACAGTGAGTATCATTGCAAATTAAAAGAGCAGTTTAATAGCTCCTCCTTTGCGTTAATGCAGAACCGTATCAGTGTGATGTATGTTTGGTACTCATGTCCCCACGTGTACTGATGTACGGGACAGCATTAACGTTTTTTTTTTCCCGTGCGGAAATCCCCTCGGATACCACCTGTCGGTGGCATGTCGGACTCGAACCGACTAAAACTGCACGCCGTCTCGGGTACTAATAGCAGGAAGTCCCTGGTGCCCCGACATACCTCGGGCCTGGCGGGCCGGGAGAGTCCTAAATCTCTCCTAGGGACAGCATTAACCTAAGAAAATATTCAAAGCAAAGACAACCAATTTGATCTCCGGTAACATTGGGTGAAAAACAAAGAAAACTTCTATTCATATTTGTAAAGGAATAGCTGGTACCTGCGACTTCGTCCGCGTGGAATTTCAAAAGCACTGCCTTAGAGGTTGTTATGAGATAAAAAATGGCCGAAGTAACTCCTTATATAGACAGCTACAAGGTAGCAAAATATTATCAAAATCGGTAAAGCCATTTTAAAGATTATCTCTGAACAAACAGACAGACAGACAAAATATTTAAACTGTTTTTTAGGCATAGGTATTGTGCAAATAACCATGTGAACATGAAAACGCCTATTATTTAAACGGTTTTACTCACTCACTCTTTGTGCAGCAGCTGACACCAACGTGGAATGTCACTTCATCTCTGTGTAAAGGTCCTTCGGGGGCGCAGCTAGTTGGGCCTCTCCGAAACTATATTAATTAAATACAAGCCAATATACAAGCTGTAACGATTACCAGTCCTAACATCATCATCACATCACATCAACAGCCTTTAATAGTCCACTGCTGGACGTAGGCCTCTCCTTAGAAAGGAGGTTTTGGCCTACCATACCACGCTGGTCAGACGGGTTGATATAGGGTTTGTGTCAAGTTTTCCTTCTCTCTGCAGTGCTGTTGTCCTGCGCAGTTTTCTCCTTAAGTCGGTTCTTACGACACCCACGGGATGAATAGGGGTGGTGACACTCCGTATTCTTAATCCGTCACCACACGGAACGGAACGAACATAAAACATGAAAACATGAATAAACATCGTGATATATTCCCTGTTCTGTGGTTGTCCGCTGCGCCATCTTGTAGACGCCATAGTTCGCGCAATCAATCAATTTACAGACTTAAATATATTTGCCCTGCGTGGTAATGCATTTAGATGTATGTTAAATTGTTAACTCAATATATCAGCAGATAAAAATAATAGCAGTAGTTGCATTATAGGGTAACCATTTTTCTAGATTTTTCTTATTCTTAATTCAGTGTTTAATTTATCATTATTTATTTTATACATAATAAATATATTTTATAGTAAATTTTACAATTTAACTCTATTAACTTTATATTTTATAAATTATAATGTCTGTATAGCAAACATCTCCCAAAACGCTAAAGGAACTTGGTTCTGACCGAGGGCCCGTAGACCTCTCATGCCGTTGTTTTTGTTTCTCTTTCATGTTTACCAAATAACAACTTAATTGCAAAAAATTTTGTTACTTAACATACTTTCTACGGATTTTCGTTGCCATCTTTAGTGTGTTAATAAATAAAAGCATTAAGTGGAGCAATTTTTCTCGTCTCCATTAGAAGGTCGTATCCAGTCGGTCCAGCTGTCTTTACACTATCCTGTCTTCGATCTTGTCTGAGTACAGTAGTTATTGTGTATCCTGATCGAGACTATATATAGGGTTGTGTACATACGAGTATATCCAACACGTAAAACATTACGTTATAATCGCTTACCACAAAAAACTGTCACTTGTATGTAGTCAAATGTTGTTTATTTAAGTTATTAGACACAGTAAGGCAGACAGTGTAAATTTTTGGGAAAATAATGAGGTTACATCAGCAAATCTACCCACGCAAAGTCCACTTTTTATCTTGTGGGTCACCCCACTGGTCGTCAATTCATCGCATTTGAGGATGAAGTGGTATGTGTGTGTCGTGGGATGAAGTGGGACTCGACCTCAAAACCACAAGGAGCTCTGTCACAGGTGGGTCTATTGCAGGGGAGCCGAGATACTGTAATGAGGAAGCATCTAGCCTGCAGATCTTGTCCGCTTGATAAGCTAGCGCCATCGTTTTTACGCCAGCCCTCAAGGACAAGCATACGCACAAACGCGCAAAAGCATTTGGTTTTGGACGTTGAACAGACAGATGTCGTATTTCTAGCGTCTTTTGTATTGCATAACTTTAAAATTTCCACCAATATGTGATCAATATATGTGATCGAAAAAATAACTCCTTACTTAACAATCTTTTTGTCAAAAATCTAAGTGTAAGCATCAGCTGTGGCCAAGTGGCATTATATGCGAGCACTTTTATATGAAAACAATTATGGCCCTCGACTGCGATTAAATAATTGTGGTGTCGTGTATGTAGAATAATAGCGATGACGCTATAGTTCATAGAACTGTCAATTGAATTTAAACAATTCCGGATTAATTTAATAAGTTCTTGAGAAAGGTAATGGGCGAGCAGTAAATATATTTACGGGTGATACTGCGGGGAACTGCTAGTAATTTTATATTTTCCTCGTTCATGAGGACAACGAACTCGTAAGGTGCCTATAAATGCTTTTATACTTGCCTTTTTTCCTTTAATGAATAACTGACCCCAGGTTTCTTCCCGCACATTGTTATTGCTTAAAACAATGTTGTAGGTAGCCCTGATGAGTCCGGTCGATGTCTATCAACTCCATTCAATCACCATCATCATATATTTAGCTTTCTCCCATAGAAATCTGCACGGATGGCGTAGTGGTTTAAGCGGTCGCCACGCCGCTTCCTACTACGCCGAGTGTTGTGGGTTCAAACCCCACATGGGACGACACTTTGTGTGATCCACAAATTGTTGTTCTGAGTCTGAGTGTTCTTTGTGTCCGTTTCATGTATGTTTGTAAAGTCCCCCGCGACACAGGATTTATTCCTAATGCGGGAGTTGTCTTTTAAAAATAGAAATAAATAGAATAGATAACAACACAATTGAAAAGGTTTGACTGTTGTGTTGTACGGCCGGCTGCCCCTCGCCTGCCAGTCGCAAACCCTCCCTGGGAATGTCATCGTTTTCACACGGACCAAAGAAAGAATTAAAAGTGCAATCATATTTATAATTGTTAACTTTAAAATATATATTTTATCTTTGTGATCTTCTTCTTCACACATACTTAGAGACTCAGTATTCCACGATTCCAAAAAACGAAATTTGTTTGTAACGTGTACCTAAACGCCACAACTGTTGAAATGATCATCATGAAATGTTACACACACACAGTGTGGGAAACATAAAAGGACACAAGCGCCTTTCATACAAAACGAGAGTGATGACTGACGGATGGTTTGATTGTCTAAATCTACATTGAAGAGATTCTGTGGGAAAAGTGTAAACAAATAAATAAAAATGAAGTGTATATTTGTAATGCCAGAGTAACAGATTTTTATTATCATAACTAAATGACAACTTGACACATCTCAGACGCGGCAGTCTTATCCCAATCTGGGCAGAGCTCTAGCTCTGCCCAGTTATAGTGCTATGGTAGTCCGACTGCTGATAAACATACTTATATATTCCCAAATACATACATTTTATAAATAAATTATGCCCAGACACAGAACAAATGATCGTTCTCATCACACAATACTTGTACTGAGCGAGAATCGAACACACCACCTCTGGCTTAGCAGTCAGGGTCGCTAACCACTAGACCAACAGACTTGTCGCTGTTACATCAAAAAGTATTTTCCTGTCTTTCGCTATATCCGTTTATTCCATCAAATCTCCGAAACGGGCAGACCGTTGTAGTTTAGGCTACTTTTATTTTGCAAAATGAATTAAGGTTCAAAACACACCAACGAAATCTAAACCAGTCCTTCAAATCAAATCTCGGACTTTACACAATCAAAACTAATAACACACAAACCTGTTTAAAACAAATTTACGTTATTGTTATACAATCTACGTCTGCCGTCGCGTTTAAATCATTAAGCAAAAAAGAACAAGTTTTATTACCGATATTAGCAATTGTCTGCAGCAATAATTCCGATAAACTTATTGGTGAAGAGTCCTCGTGTTATGTACCTTACCTGTAGTATTTGTTTTTATGTACGTAGTATCGCGCGGTGTTTAGCGACGGCCGGGTGTGTCGTGACAAGTTGTTTGTTTAAGTTGTCTTTTGTCCTCCAATCTGTGTCTACGACATTGAGCTGGATTTTATTGAGCTGAGTAACGTGTCGGGTGCGTACGGAACAGTATCCAATGATGCGTCCAAACTGGCGCTAGCTCCTCGCGCAGTCAGGTCTTGACAAGTGAATTTATTTGTTGAAGGACGAGGACTTCACGTAATCGGTGAATATGTCTTAACTATAGATTGTACTATCAATAATTTATTTATCACTTGTGTATTTACGTGTAATTGTTATAATCTTGAGATTATTTAATTGAAGAGAGCATGTCAGTGATAGAGGACGGCTAAAGGGACCTGATGGACAAAAGCCAGTGCGAAATTATTTTATGAAATTACGCAGACTCATATATTTTGTTTTTTATAATAAATGGGGCTGTCGAGGAGATGGGTCACCTGTTGATGGTGATTAACTTACTGCTAAGCAAGAGGTCGTGGGTTCGGTTACCAACCAGGACAATGAATTGTGTGATGAACACAAACGAATTTTATTTAAAAATACATAAATGTGCCGAGTTGACGGGCATACGCCTGCCCCCTGTTACGAAGTGCGACCAAAATGACACAACAATGGTTACAAAATGTGTTTGTTTAGTAGGGCTCTGTAACGGATCACGTGACGGTAAGTGCTTGCCGCCACCCACGGATACTTGCAACTCAAGACTCACAAGTGCATGGCCGCCCTTTAAGTACCGCCCTCGGGAATCAGGGTAACCTACCCCAGGTTAGGTCCTGTAAGGTCCAGACTGCACTCACTGGATGAAAAACATTGAATCAATTGCTTAACATAACAGTTTTCTGTCAGGTCGAGCCCATTTGTACTGAACCTTGGCTCTCTCATAGAGACACTCGCATGGAGCGCTTTATGTAGTGTACGTTTAATTATTTCTAAGATTTTCTCATAACTTTATAAAATATGAGTCTGCGAAATATAGCCTGCGTAATAGCGCGATAAAATTCCTCCACAATCAGGAATACAAAGTGCATATTAACGTATATGTAGGTGCATATTAAGTGTGCACATGCCACCATAAATACCATAGCAATAAAATAATACTCATTGTTCCAGGAAACAATAAGTTACTTCTGTTTAACATTGCAATCACAAAACAAAATTCGCTAACGACTCGGATCCTTTCATCTGTAACTACAAGCGAAGCACTGATATCAGACATTCAGATTATAACCACAGATAATAGCGGTCCACAAGCCACCCCTTATTTTTTTTTTTTACTTTATTTTTTTATCGCGAGTGAGGTAAAGGAATCATAATAAACAAGAACATGGACAAGTTGGCAGATATTGCAACCAAGTTGTGGTGGGGCGGGGACCCGGACGAGAAGAACCCTACCTCGGGGATGTCTCGCCGTGACGTGTACAACGTCAGAAAGTCTTGGACGAAGATCAACGCGGATGCTCAAGGGAACGGCTTCCTCATGTTCTCGAGGTGAGAGTAGCACTATACATGTCTCAGCGAGGCTGTTGACCTGCTAACTGGACTATTGGTCTAGTGGTCAGTGACCCTGACTGCTAAACCAGAGGACGTGGGTTCGATTACCTCCTGGACAAATAATTGTGTGATGAGTATGATCATTACGCATGATTATCAGCAGTCTGGTTACCATAGCACAGGCTCTGCCTAGTTTGGGATCAGACGGTCTTGTGCGAGATGAGTTAAGTTAATATTATTGAAACGGCTAATGGAAATATAGTGAAAGTGGTTATAAGAGGAGCCCAAACAGAGAGGGAGTTAGAGAAACAGTAATCTTCCATTTAAGAGAAATGCCTGGGCACAGAAAGTGACAGTTTGTATGTCCAACAACTCTTTTCAATCTCCATATCACTTGAACCCTATAAACCTTTTTTTCGTTAGCAAATTATAATTCGGTCTCTGTCTGAAATAAACCATGTTTTTTTGTTACTTTGATTGGAATATTATTCTTACATGCACAGGCCATAATTAGGTATTCTTAATTTAAGTATTAACTTAAAAAGAATATCGTTGTTTGTCAAAATGTTGTTTTGGTTGCTTGTGAGTTTTATAACGCATAATTTATATTTACCGCGTAAAGAAATTAACTTGTTTTTAAAACGAAATATTAAACGTAGGTCACTCGTGATTTCAACACGGATGGCCTTTTAACAAGATATCGTTCTTGGGCCAGATAATGACCTTGTCCTGGTAACCTCGCCAGTCACAAAACAGACACAGAGGTACACCACCCTTGACTCTTGAAGCAACTCCAGTCTCCGTATACTGTCCATCGCCAGACTCGCGGGACCCGTGACTCATCCGCCTTTGCTTTCATTGTATTCCTCACACCAATGTGCCTTCTTCCATATAGTAATTCTAAAGAAGGGTTAGTGTCAGGGATCAGCTAGCTATTACACATTCCGCCGACCCCAAATGGAATTAGGAGATGACTGTCTCTAACAATTTCTATTTAATATCACAATGTTTTAAATTATGCATATTACAAAATACGTATATAATTTTACGGCAGGCTCTTCGAAGCAGACCCTGAGAGCAAGACCTTCTTCTCGTACTTGTCGGACACGAACAAGGAGCAGATGGCGCGCAGCTTCACCTTTCAGGCGCACATCGTGTTCATCATGGCGTCGCTGAACTCCGCCGTGGAGAACCTGCCGCAGCCGGAGATCGTGGTGTCCCTCATGACCAAGCTGGGGCGAGCCCACCACAGGCAGAACATACGGAGGAAACACTTTCGGGTCAGCCTTATATTATTACTCTATCGAACACTTGAAATGTAATGGTACACTTACACGCTTGGCAAATATCGACAAGTGCCCACAAACACAAACGGGGTATTTGGCTTGGCTTGCGTGAGCTTGTCGCCGATCCGGGCTTATGTCGGTTTTTAAACACAGATCAAAGAAAGCTTGTGGCAAGCGTTGGCAACGTATTTATATGTTGGCGCGTGTTTAGTGTCTCTGTTTAAAATAGAAATATGTAAATCCAAACGCAATAGCAGATACAACTTAAATGTTTGCCGTTTGCCTGTTCGACTTGGAGCTTGTGGACGTTTGCCTAGCCTCGGCATGTAGGTAAACTAGGCATTAGTCAATCAAAACGTTTAGAATCCCTTGACTTAGAATCAAGAAATTGTGCCGAAAGCAAGTCGCCAAGTAACGAAAAACCCAAATCGTAATTTTTATATTCAAATCATCAATCGATTTGATTCAATCAATTTGAAATTGACTGTGACGATATCGATAAATTGAAGACTATTTTTAGAGCAGCATAGTTTTTTTTAAATAATTTGACTTATTTGCCGCGATTTCGTAGTGTTATTTCGTTGTGTGTTCTTGAAAATTATGTTTTTTTTAAATACGTAAAGCAGCTACGTTTTAGATTATAAATGTCTATATTACCAATGAGTCTCCAGCAGCGAACTGGCACAGAGTAACTTCACACAAACTCGAATACATAAAATAAATTAATAAATCAGAAAATAAAAACATTATTCCTCGTACTACAGAGAGTAGTGGTGAGCTAGTGGGTTGGACATCTAAATTAAATTGTTCACTTCACTATATTTATTATTACTAGCTTTTGTACGCGACTCCGCCCGAGTGTATGTCGATAAAAGCCTATGTCCTTTCCCCACAACTCAAAATTCTCTCCATACTAAATTTCATCTGAATTATTTCAGCGGTTATGGATTCCCCATACAAATTTCGGATGTTTTATGGGATAAAAACTATCTTATATCCTTTCTTGAGACTCCAACTATCTCTATACCAAATCTAATCTAAATCGGTCCAGGGGTTTAATCGTGAAGAGGTAAAAGATAGACACACTTTCGCAGTTATTATATTAGTATGGTTACACTTGCAGGTGTTTGAGGAGGTGCTAATGAACATCCTGAAGAACGACCTGCGCTTGAGCGAGGACGTGGTGGCCTCGTGGACACTCTTCGTGGCCTTCATGTACAAACACATGTTCACTGCAATCACCGAATAGTCCACATCTAACACATACACTTCACCGAGTACTTATGCTTTTATTTCGAGGGGGTGGGGGGGGGGGGGGATTGGATAAAAATTATTACAGCCACTGTAACGTAACGGCATCATGCGATCCCGACCTGAGACAGCTATTGCTTACTCGTTCAAACCTGTTAGTAGAGATATCTACCTTTCTCTTTCAATTATTGCTTCCAATAATGGAGAGGGATATAATAACAGCCTTGTTGATACTTTTTACTTGTTAATATGTTCGGTATTGTCAGGAACCACAAATTGGATCATTTCATTTATAACATCTTTAATAGAATGGGTATTCAAGGTTAGATATAAAAACTTTTTGCTGTCAACATTATAAAAAAACCGCAAAGGAAAAAAATTGCTGTATCACTTATAATAATGATATTAAAAATGTTAGACTAATTGTTTCTGAACATATTTAGGCGTCAAAGATAAAAACGTTTTGAAGCTATTGCATAGCTTCTATCGCGGGCCTTGAGCGTGGAGACCGAATCCAGAAATGCCGTAACGAAAATAACCTAACACACCCCACGTGATACTTTTTAGTTTTGCCATCTATCGATCTTTTAATGAACTTTTAATGACTTTTGAAATATCACGCCTGTCTCTTTAGTTCAGCAACGCGCCTCTAGGTGGCATTGGTCGTATCTTTCTTTCGAAAATATTGAATTCGAAAATGAATAATGATCCACAAGAATCCACAACAAAATATGGGACCACCATTGACGCGGTATTTTCCAGATATTTAGAAGATCTATATATTTAGAAGATCTATATATTTAGAAGATCTATATATTTAGAAGTCTCAAACTTATGTTTCTTATTTCAGTTACCATAAACCTATAGTTTCAATGATAAATATTCCTGAATAACCTACATGTATTGTAAGATAATAAAAATATTTTAACAATATTAACTTCCCATTTATTTAATATAAGAAAAAAATTGTTTTCTTATCGGTCACCACGCTCAAAAAGTGTAACTTGAATTAATATCAAAGAAAAAAAATCAATGGAAAAAAATACTGCATAAATAAAATAAATAAATAATTATAATTGCATAAGTTGAAATGCTATGCAATAGCTTTACCGCGGCAGTCCCGAGTGCCACACGTCTTTATTTTGTATGTATTATACGGGTGTCGTAACGAAAACTGAAATAGTGTATTCAAACCATCATTTGAGTCGAAAATTTGAGGTCATTCCCCGTAGGTATCGTACAAAAGTAATAACTACGTTTGTATTCTAACACAAGTTCAACGGAAGGGGGGAGGCCCCGCACGCTTAGTTGTTCTCATTAATTACATTGCAATTTTTGACCGTATGCGGTATTTATTTAATTGAACGAATACCCTATTTCAGTATTCGTTACGTCCCTTACACCCTGTATATAAAACTAGCTATTGCCCGCGACATCGCTCGCATAATTATATATTTTTTCGAAAATGACGAACTTCCATCTAATCGTTCATTCCTTGTTTTACCCCCTTAGGGGGAGCAGTTTCCAAAAATCCTTTGCCATAAAAGCATCAGCTGTCAAAATGACAAGTTTGTAGCTCCAACGGTTTAGGGTCTGCGCTGATGAATCAGTCAATCAGGGCGACGAATTTTATGTATATATAAGATATTGTTTTTAGTTTAGAGATAAGTGAACCAGCAGGTGTTACATTCGCTCGACCAACACAGGCCCTCCCAAGAATGTACGGGACGAACCTGGGTCTATGTGACGGCTGGTGATCGGGGAGTGATATAAATTGACACACCGTAATAACCAACACAGTTTATTAATTGTATATACATGTATATAGTAACGTTAATAAATACAATCGTACATCACAGGCGTTTGTTTGTTTTCGCAGAACAAGTGAACAAGCTGAGCGAGTTTCTTTATACATAATAACCTCACACATCTCACACACGGCCGTCTGATACCAAACTAGGCAGAGCCTGTACTACGGTAACCAGACCGCTGATAAACATACTTATACACTACTAAATACATACATATCATAGATAAATTATACCCAGACACAGAACAAACGACCGTGCTCATCACACAAATATTTGTCCTGGGTGGAAATCGAACCCACGGCTTAGCAGTCAGGGTCACTAACCACTAGACCAACAGGCCCGTCATTATTATTACATTATTATACAAATTTATAAAAGTCTTTGTAAACTGGTAACCGATGTGTGATAAAATTATTAATTTCCAACAAGTATCACGTCGATGTCAATGCGCTCACATCATGGTAATAATTGTAATAATCTGCATTTTCATCCCTTAAACCTCTAGCAGTGGACTGTGATTGAATCCATAACTACACTACAAGTTGAAGCTGTTACAACGGTTACCAACTTACCATCAAAGTGTCTCGTTATAGCAAGGCATATTATGTATTATTCTGTTTATAAGTACTTATATTCTATATAATTATTTATTTCACTATAAAATCTTTGCCATGTCATTCTTTACATTAATTTACAGCTAGATGTCGCTGCGCACTTATAATTAGTACCGGCATGGACCGCTAGATGTTGTTAGTAGTCCTTAGCGCGGGCGCGTGTCAGTGGCGGCGGCCGCTAGGTGGCGCTACGCGGTGTGTTAAAACCCCTCCGTGTTCATGTCGTTGATGCCGAGCTCCTCGTTCTGTTCGAAGGTGCGCGTGTAGCGCGTTATCTTCAAACCTGTTATGAAGTGATCAAGTCAAGTTACGGAACAAGCCAATGTACACCAATATAACGACTGCAGACCTGAACTCACTTCGAACACAAGTATTTAGTTCAACTGGTAGGGTTAACATTTTTTTTAATGGAATAGGGGGCAAACGAGCAGACGGGTCACCAAACTGATAGAAATCTTTAAAAATGAATCGATACACAAGAAACTGAATAAATGTGAGTGTTGGGCCCCGAGTACCGTACAAACTTGTAGATATTTTATTAGATCAGGCTAACATGCAGATAGATTTTAAATCAATGGCAGTAACCAAAAAATATAGTAGGCCAAAACCTCCTTTCTAAGGAGAGGCCTATGTCCGGCAGTGGACTATTAAAGGCTGTTGATGTGATGTGATGGGCAGTAACCAACGGAACGTGCGAATTGAGTTAACTTACAAGCCTTATTGTTAGTATTTCTGCGCTTTCCTCAGCTGATAAACTACTGCGACTGAAGTCTTTGGTATGAGTTGCAAAGAGTGAACCAAACAAAGCCCAGTTCGCACCTTTAGTTTTATATCTAAAATTATTGGGAGCCTTTTGTGGATCCTCTGTCAGTCTGCTCATCATATCCTCTGGGAATGTAGTCTTTGGTATAATGAACGTAATATAATGCTGAATAGCTTGCAGGTGACATCTGGGGCGGTATACTATGGGGATCTTGTGTCAACTAGGGTGAATTTCCGTGCGTTTAGGCGATTCTGCCATACATATTATAGAAATCAAATATAGCTCATGTAGGACCCGTAATATTTGTGGCCGTGGTGCTTCCCTGTTTAAAAGGGTGTATGCCCTTTTTACTTCATTTTGTCTCCCGCTTTGCTAAGGAGGGAAGTGGATTTACTGTATTTCCAACTCCTCCAATTTTCTTCTGATTAATTTCGTTGCGGGTTCCAAGACAGTTTAATTTCTTCCTGGGACTTCCCGAGTGTCATAACTCGGTGTGTTCGTGGGTCACTGCTGTGGATCCTGGTGTACAGGAGTTACAGCGGTGGGCGTGTGGGTGGGATTAGTCCCATTATATAAAAAAAAAAGCCTTATTGTTACAGCTTCAATGGACCACCGACATAAGTATTTGATATTTATTTCAGTTTGATACCTCAACGTTCCATAGAAACAAAGTCCTTATAGAGAGACAGACAGACAGCACTATGATCTTAGGAAGAAGAAAGATGTGTCAAGTTAACTAAAGCAGACTAATAGTTGAGTATGTGTACGGCAGAGGGCGCTACACTCACCGTCGTCGGGCACGGTGGGGTCGTCGGCCAGGCTCTGCACGTACGAGTTGCCCGCGGGGTCGTCCAGTATGATGGTGATGGCCATCTCGCCCTCCAAAACCTTCTTTAGGTTCTCTATGAAACTGGGAAAAACACGACAGACTCAGTATCATATTTAAAACAACTTGTAACTACTCAAATGTCCAAGTTAACTGTAACTTTAAAACTATTGACAATTTCTACCAGTCTATTTTAGCTTTGAGTAGAGTTGAGTGGTTAGGTGCACTACCTACGCTTAAGTTAGATTTAAAGGAAAACAAAAAAAAAAGTCATTTACACACAATAAGAGAAGGTACAGGGAATATAGAAATACAGGGTGTAAGGGACGTCGTAACGAATACTGAAATAGTGTCTGAGCCGAAAATCATTGGAATTTTCTGCCGGAAAATTAAACTTTTTATGCCATTACCTGTCAAAGTTAAAGGGCATTCCCCGTAGGTATCGCACAAAAGTAATAACTACATGTGTATTCCGTGCAAACAGACTACGCACACGAACACAAGTTGGGGGGGGGAGGCCCCAAGCGCTTCGGCTGTAGAGTTTGTTTGTTTGTTACGCTTTCACGCCTAAACCGCTGAAACGATTTTATTTTTCTCCAGCAATCACCAACATAGGCAAGTTTTCACCGCGATAACCGACACACGCGGGCGGAGCCGCGACCAAAATCTTTTACGATATACACAATCTATACAATTAAATAAAATTGGAGCGTCTGTTTGTAATATTAAAATAACCGCTTTTTACTAAATGCATATGTATGTTTACACGGTACATATGCCAAAATAACATTTTTTACAATTTTTGTCTGTCTGGCAGATAGCTGATGACATAAGGAGTAACTTAGGCTACTTTTTTTAGACTAGCTTCGCCCCGCGGCGTTGCCCGCGGTTATAACACCAAACGCGGGTAACACCGCGGGTTTCAGCTAGTATAATATAATATTAATCCGCTGTTCAATCATGTGTGCGGTGTCTTAGTTTTAAACAGCTCTACATCAGAAGTGTCACCTCTTTAGACCCTCCGTGTTGAGTCCAGGCGCGTCCCCTATGGCCCCGGGCGAGTCCGCCAGCTGGTCCAACGTGGCCCGCACGAGCCCCTCCGCAGTCGTGAAGCGCCCTCCTAAAGCTCGACCTCCTACTTCTAAATCCAGTTCTGGGATCTCCATGCTGCAGGTCTCTGACTGTGGAACAAAGAAGGAAGGATTGTTTTTCTGAATGCACTTGTCTTCACTATCAAGTGGTGTCACGAACATTAGAACACTGCCGTGCTGTTTACTTACTTTGTCGACCTGATGGCGTAGACATACCACTAGTATGTATAATGGGCTGTTAGGCTAAATGTTGCGGGTTCGACTCCCGCTCAAGTCAGACATTTATGTACATGAACATTTAATGTTTGATTTGGTTTGGGTGTTTTTACGAAAAAAAAAGTACCTGTATTTATATCGCTTGTCTAGTACCCATAGTACAAGCTCTGCTTAGTTTGGGACTAGATAGCGTTGTGTGAATGTGGTAGAATATCGGAGAGAGAGAGGTCTAAAAATCGATCCCCTTTTTTTTCTGTGCGGAACTCCCCTCGGATACCACCCACCAGTGGGTGATTATGTCGGACTCGACCCGACCAAAAACCGCACGCCGTCTCCAGGTACCAGTAGCCGGGAGCCAGGTATACCCTAGAAAGGAAAGCCCTAGTACCCCGACGTACCTCAGGACATCTACGGCTTATAGATGACCCCTCCTGTGTGGGAACCCGGATGTTCCCTTCCTGCGCTCCGTAGCGCGTCGCGCCATTACCCACCCCGGCCTGCTTCTGCTAGAGTGACAGATGGCCTAACCTGTCACCCTCAGGCCTGCGCTTATGGAGGACGGAGGTCGCTCTGCGTACCTGGCCCGGTCTCGGGCCTGGCGAGCCGGGAGGGTTCTGAACCTCTCCCGGTCTCGCTCCGCCATCTCCTTCGCAAGCATAACCTGATCGCAGAAGGAGACCGCGGAGTTCCACGCAGACGGCGGAGTTCCACGCAAAAATCGACCCCCTATTAATTAACACAAGTTCTATTTGAAAGTTTCAAGATACTGTATTAGTTGTTACGTGTACCAACTTGTTCTAAGACTGACTAATATTTTAGTAGGAAGTATCATTGTTGTAATCAAGAAGCATGCTTGGGTTAAAAATCAAAGACAGAGTCAGGAACGTAGACATAAGAACAAGAACTAAACTCAAAGACATTGTTACCAAACAGACTACGCACACTAACACAAGTTGGCGGCCGGAGGGGAGGCCCCAAGCGCTTCGGCTGTTTGATTAATTACATTGCAGATTTTGACCGTATGCCATATTTATTGATTTGTTTTCGGTTAAATATTCCGTTCACTCATTGTGATATCATTTTTAACGAAAAAACATATACGATAGACGTCCAAAAAATGGAGATGGGCTGGACATATGCTACGCCACTCCATTAACAAATGGAGCGAACAAGTCACCCTCTGGCAACCAAGAGACGAGAAAGAGGTAATGGTCGTCAAGTCAGGAGATGGAAAGATGATTTGAAAAACCGCGGGGGCCCCTCGGTTTAGAGTACAAGGGACAGGACCCTTGGAGGAATCGGGGGAGGGCCCATGCCAAAAAGGCACACCGAACTTTTGGGGGGCCTCTTTTAACCCATGTTTAGGAAAAAAGGCTATTATTTTTATTACTAGTGACCCGCGCAATTCGTCTGCGTTCTAAATAGTAATAAATTTTCTCCGTTTTGAAAAATTCTTTATTGGCGCTCCGCTCCTATTGGGTTTTTTGCGTGTAATATATAGCCATAGCCTTCCTCGATAAATGGACTATTAAAAACTGAAAGAATTTTTTTAAATCGGGCCAGTTTCCTGAGATTAGCGGTTCAAAACAAACAAACAAAAATCTTCAGCTTTAAATAAGTATAGTTATCATTTGTACTTTAAAAAATCAACAAGTCAATAAGCGTGCGAAATTTGGCTTTGGTCTGAGGTAACAGTTCATTTTAGAAAAGGGGTCCCAAAATAGTTTGGAAACCCCTGCCCTGAGGGGTTGTGCAGCATTGCACCAGGGACTTCCTTTCTAGGGTATACCTGGTTCCCCGACTATTAGTACCCGAGACGGCGTGCGGTTTTAGTCGGTTCGAGTCCGACTTGCCACCGATAGGTGGTTTCCGAGGGGATAAAAAAAAAAGGGGTAGTGCAGCATACTACACACTCATATATGCCTCTCCACTTATAACTTGGTAGCACTCGTGGTGTCGGGGGCAAGTTTATTGATATCTGTTGAGCTTTTGGGTTTTTAGCTTTAGGTAAGGAGAAAGGCGCTGGCAGAAGCGATATTCATTTCTTATGCTAATGGGGGGAGGGGGGCGGGAAAACGAGCAGACGGGTAACCTGATGGTAAGTGACTACCCATTGACACCTGCTGATTTATAGAACAAATGCATGCATTGCTAGTGTGTGTAGTTACCAAAGTTAATATTTTCTTTCTTTATTTCTTCCTATACTGGTAGTGTACGGTGAGCACTGACCTTGAGCACGTCGCGGGAGAAGTCCAGTTTGTTGGCGACGCGGACCTCGAAGCGCACGCCCTGCTCCTCTATGCCGCCCCCCGACTTCACCTAAGACACAGACTCATTGTTACTGCACTTAGCTCCACGATGTTCCACGTTTAACTGTTAGAAACAATGTTCCTAAAACTTCTTAACGGACTTTATAAAAGTACTACCTTTAGCGCGCGGCTCCGCCCGCGTGTATGTAGGCTATCAAGGTAAAAAGTAGTCTATAGCACTCAAGAATAATATACCTTTCTAAAACTGTAAGAAGGTTGAAAATCGGACCAGTAGTACCGGAGATTAAAACGAACATACAAACCGAACCTCTTTATAATGTTAGTATTTGCCTATATTCATATTTTTGTTTTAAATTATTTGGTTTATAATAAATTACATACAATATTTACTTAATAAACCTGACCGGTTTCGCCTCCACGACATTTTCAAAAGGTTTTACGACAACTACTGTATTGAAAAAAAAAGATGTTAAATTATATTAAATATTTTTTTTATAAGGCATACTTATATGAAAATAACTTTGTTTGTTTGTTTGTTTGTTACGCTTTAACGCGTAAAACCACTAAACCGATTTTAAAAATTCTTTCACCAATAGAAAGATACATTATCAGCGAGTAACATTGGCAAAAGTGTAGGAAAAAGTTTAAAATGGAATATCTACTGCTCGTAGGCCTATCGGTTAGTTCTAACCCAAAGGTAGTAGGTTCGATTCCTACCCAGGACAAATAATGATGTGACTAGTATAATTTCTGTGCAACACGTATGTATTTAATAATATATAAGTATGTTTATCAACAGTCTAGTTACTATAGTACAGGCTCGGCGCAGTTTGGGTCCAGTCAGCGGGTTTATCTTACAACAAAACTTTAGATACGAGTTCAAAATGAAATAAAACGTGGAGAGTTGTGAGACCTCGTTGGTGCGATGTCCGCAGGCGTCGCACAGAGTCGCCATTATCACCACCTCCTTGAAGTACGGTATATCTGCGGAACGAAACACGGGTTTTACTTTACTTGTAACAATCACGGTATCCATATCTATTACATTCTCTTCTTATTTCGTGTTTATTGGGTTAAGGGCTTTAAACAATAAATTGAGTAAGAATTCTAATCAAAATATTTTATTATTCAACAAACAGAAAACTTTATTTCTTAGAAAGACATGACACAGACAAACCAGCCAGTTGTAACTTTTAGTGATAATATTCTTTGGTGTTTACCTTTAATGTTTACTTTTACTAATAGCGTTTCTTACTTTCAAAAAAAAAATATTAAAAAAAAATAGTTTTGGCCTGTTGTCAATAGTAAAAAGCAACCCACGCTTTTTTTCAAATTTATTAAAATTTATTTTCTATTTTTTAGTTTGGTTTTCTATAAAAAGCGTGTTTTTTAGTTTTTTTTAAACTATATTTTCTTTTTTTTTTTAAATTAGTGTATTGTCATCGGTCGATATATCTACAAAGTTTGAACGAATTCTGACCGTTCAAAGTCAGTCAAAATCACGCCCAAAGGAGTCGGTTACAAACAACCATACAAAGAAACATACAAACAAACAAGTGAAGCTAATATAAAGCGTGTAATAAAAGACTGCAATACAACCGTTCATCCCTTATATTTTTCCCCTTTCTTAGTGCGAGCTGCTAAAGTGTCAAGTTTGTGGGACCCATCGGTTTAGGTCAGTCAGTCAGTCAGGACCAAGTAATATTATACTGTTTACATGTCTTATCTTTTCATCAATTGTCAACAGATGGCGCTAATTGATATCACTCACTGGTGAGCTTCATGTTGGTGTTGGCGGGCGCGTTGCAGTCGGGGCAGTTGGTCCTGAAGCACATCACCTCGTCCGCGGACATCTGGTCGTACGTGAAATCCCTAGGGTCCGAGGGGGACAGCAGCGAGGAAGGGGGGCCCGCCGTGGGGGTGTCTATGTCCTGGAGGTACAGCATATAGTATATTGCTACAGAGGAGTGTGATAGAATGGTGGTGGTTTTCAGAATTTGTGACGGATTAAGAATACGGAGTTTCACCACCCCTATTCATCCCGTGGGTGTCGTAAGAGCCGACTAAGGGAGCAGAACTGCAAAAAGAAAGAAATCTTGACACAAACCCTACAGCGTGGTATAGTAGGCCAAAACCTCCTTTCTAAGGAGAGGCCTATGTCCAGCAGTGGACTATTAAAGGCTGTTGATGTGATGATGTGAATTTTCAGAAAAATCTTGTAAATTTGATACAGAAATATTATTATGAAAGCAAAAAATTGTCTGACAACGATGATGTTTCGTATGAGAGATGGCTCACATTAATGAAACGTTAGGTTGTTCAATACCTACCACAACGGAATTATGTCAAGAATTTTGTGAAAATTTCTGCAGAAAAGCCCGTCGCTAACAGTCCCACTGTTCACTAACCTGATCCTGCTCGAATATACCGAGCGAATGGTCTTGCTCCTTGGTGCGCCTGAAGTCCTCCCGCGAGCAGCGAGGATCACGGCGAGGGGCCTCGGGGTTTTCCATGAAGCAATTACCTGCAACAGACCGCCATTGATTGAATTAAAGACACAGGAGGTGGGACTTGCGACTCGTCATCGACCTGACCAAATCACTGCTGGTCCAAGACACAATCATCAACAGCATTTAATAGTCTACCGCCGCACATAGACCTCTCTTTAGAAAAATGGTTTTGGTCTATTATACCACGTTGGCCCCGAACGGGGTCGGTATAGGTTTATGTCAAGTTTTCCGTCTCATCGCAGTGCTGTTGTCCTGCGTAGTTTGCGCCCTTAGTCGACTCTTACGACACCCACGGAATGAACTTCGTATTCTAAATCCGTGCGGTGACGGAGACTACACAATAGTACACCTTTTTTTTTTTTTTTTTTTACGTGTGGAAGAAATCCCCTCGGACCGTCACATCGCCGGGGCTCTCGTTCGACGGGGCGGTGTGTCGGACTCGAACCGACTAAAACCACACGGTGTGCCCTCTTTGCGCTTCCAGTTTAGGAAGGGTGCAGGTAGCTATCTCCTTCTGGACCCCTCCCAGCGCCGGCCCGCTCCTGGTGCGGGCTCCGTCTCAAATTGACCTCTCTTTAGGCGGCGTCCGGCACACGCGGACGCCGCCCCCTCGACACAATAGTACACCTACATCTACTCCGTGGTCGGCACCAACGGAGCGCTACCACGGCCTCACACAAAACTATTTTAAGCTATTTTTTCACTAAGTGAAGTTACAGGATACCAAAAACTCCCCTCAACCTTATTCTGAGGGGGGAGGTGGGACTTAAGGGGCGGAAACGAATTGTGTAACTCTTGAATTGCAGGTCTATTATCACTTACCATCAGGTGACCGATCTCTTCCTTTGCTCTTCTATGCCATCAAATAAAATAGAGGGTGCAAGTATTTTTTTAATAAAGACCATGCCTTCAACTGCCACTTACCGCTGATGTCTTCCAGCTGCAAGGTCCAGGGTTTGTCGGCCGGCTTCAGCGCTTCTAACCTGTCCACGAAGGCGTCGATCTGCGCGGCCGCCTCGGGGTGGTCGATGCGCCGCTGCGTCTGGTCCTGGACGAGGCCGGCGATGGCGCGGCTCAGTATGCCCTCCACTGTTGTCACTTCTGTAAAGTTATTAGTTATTATATTCTGACTCTTTCGGAGGGTTGTTGTTTTCTTTTAAAAGATCTACTAGCCCATGAAATCTCCAGTATTCCCGTTTACCCTTCCCGCTAAGCTAAACTGCTTGTTAGAAATGGGTTCACGTCGGTAGTGTACTGGTCAGGATTTGAACCCACGACCTCTTGATCGCAGGTCCAACGCCTTAACCATTGTGAAAGTTTAGTTAGTTAAAATCATAATTATGATTTTAACTAACTATATATTTATATATATATTTTTAAACCCATCTTCAGACACTTTACACTTAAGTAGTACACTGAATGCGTAATGTACTAATGGAAACCGATCATGAACCCAAACTCGAAACGTTTAGTAGTAGAAACTGAAGAGTTCCCCTGGTTCTGTCGTCAGATACCTATAAGTAACATACAAACTGAGACACAAAATTTAGAAGTACATTTAAAATTATTGTCTACATTTGTTTACATTATTAGCTAGTTACAAGTGAAGAATCTTTTCGAGTTTGAACCTAACTAACGTGCGACACCGCCGGCGCACTGTATTCACACGACATGAATATGTCTCGACCAACTGAGCCCGCTGCGAAGAAGCCTTGTTCAGAAGAGAAAGAATGATTAATAACTAAAATCCTCTGCCTTTTTAGAACATACCCCCTTTCTGACTCTGAGCAGGTATTTCAAAGTCCAGTTCTGGTATCTTAACGCTAGTGTAGTCACTCTTCACCACCTGGCGGTTCAGGTCTGTCGGAGATTCCACCTTGAGTGTCCATCTGAAACAATATTCATCACATGGCACTGACAGCACAAACAACCGTTATCTGATAAAACTATAACGTATTCAATGATAATTTTAGTTTCTGAACCAAATTAAAAAGTAAAAAGTAGGTCAATAACTTTTACTAAACTAAAATTGGAGAACAGTCTCAGAGAGGAGCCCATACGCTTGCAAATAACATGACCTGTTACAATTCAATTCAATTCAATGAAATCACACATTCTTGCATTTCGTTGAAAAGTCTTTTTCATAGGACTCACTGGTGAATGTGCAAAAGTTGTTTTTTTTTTATTTATATTTTTATTTATATTTTCGCACTAGGAACATATCCTGTGTCACAGGGGACTTTACAAACTTTCATGAAATAGACACTAATAACACCCTGACACAGAACAGAAACAGAACAACAAGTTGTGGATCACACAAAGTGTCCCATGTAGGACCATTTAAATAACTATGCCATCCATATAGTCCATACTCCATAAGTATTTTACAGATTTTAAAATGGTTTTCTCCAATGTAGTACAGTACTGTACAGTGACTCATCAAGTTTGGCAAGCTAAAATATGACAACAAATCCAGAGACCATCCAGAAAAAAAAGACGTACCAACAGGGAGTTTTACTGGCATGTGCTGCATAAATGAGAAAAAATATGTAACCATATATGTCTTGCTACCTGTATGAAGTATTAAAAGTATATTATAACTGAGAACCTCCTTTAGAAGTCTTGATGTTACAATATTTTATACTTTATCACTAGGACCTGAAGTTAACTTTTCATAGTAATATCTCACCTGACTCCAAGTTCCGCATAGGCCCCTCCAGGCTGTATCTCATTGTTCTGGTAGCCGCATTCCTCACACGAGAAGGACATGATCACAACATTCTTGTAATATGGGATACGGGTCAGCAGTAGACGGGTCATACCCTGAAATCAGAGTTGAAATAAAAATTAGAATGAACGAAATAACACTAAGAAAAGATTTTTAAAAATTCCACCCATAAGGGTACAAAATGGGGGATGGAAATTTTTATAAAACATCATTATTTGTGGTACAGTTACAGGTAAAGGTACAGGTCAGTTTTCAAACTCACAGTAACTCCTCTTTAGTTTGTATCTTATTTTATATACCTAAAATCTTGATTCCTTGTAGTGTATGATGTCTAATGCCGAACACCACACGGACAAAGTCCTGGGAAAAATCTAGATATATATAAAGTACATACATTACCTATGGGAGACCCATGGGAGGTACAAATAGGGCAGATCAACCAGAGTGATACCATAGCCTTACAGAACACCAGTGTTAAGCAATTCCTTGCTTGTCATCGAGTGAGTGAGGTTACCAGAGCCTTAACCCTCACCTTCTTTATCCTGGGGGGTGGGACTCAAAGGGTAGCAACACACTTGTGACTCTTTAGGTGCACCAAGTGACACGGATGCTCACTTGTATTTCCAATTCAAAATAAAATGTCACTTTAACAAGGAAACTATACATAGTATATTAATTCCTGATATATCAGTATGTGGCAATTGGAATAAACATAAGAAATCAAATATCATATTAAATGGTACTCTGTTATTTCATGAAGTGAACCTTTAATGAACAGAAAAAAAAAACAATTGCCCTATTTTCTCTATTTATGTTATTATGAGGCAGAAGGCTAGAATATTTGGGGATAAGTGCATAGCATGAACAGAAAGTTTATGCCAAACGGATTTATGTGGATAAATGACGATACTGACATTAAAAATCTGTTCTAAATTCTAAATAAATAAAACAAAATTATAACCTCAAGACTAAAAACACAATTGCGAGGACGCCGTTTTAAGTCAACATATGCAGAAAACTTGTTCTAATATAATATACCTAGCGCTCCAAACACAATCAATATTCCCACTAACAGCTGGAATAGCGAAAATTACAAAGCAAATTTACATTTCTCGAAAGTCCGCAGTGTTTACTCACGTTTGAGTGGCAGTTCATGCATAGTGATTCGATCTCGGTCACTTCAGGGTCCTCGTCCTCCACATTCAGGTCCCTGAACACCGGCTTTTGTTCTGCGCTACACATTTTTAATGAAAACAATTAAAATTTAAAACTTTTAAGAGAGCTTTGCTTCTGACAATACGTTTAACCAGTGCTGCCAATAGTTGAATCACAGAACATATATACCCCTAAAGGGGTGAATGAACTCTCCAGTCTCCACCAGATTCACCATCTAAACCCACCAGAAAACCACTAACTAAAAGCTACCCTACTCTAATACGCACTAAATTTTCCACCAATCATTTTTTTATTAATAGGAGAAAACTATAAGTAGATTAATAACTAGTTTCTTTTATTAAAATGTATTACTGATAATCGTTTATATCTTTATAATCGTTTTTGTCAGCAACATCATCGTCGGTTCCATATTACTACGATTCTTTGGTACCGATTTGTTTTACAATGTTTATTTTTATTTCATATTTGTTGCAGCATTCTCTTTCCAACTTCATAACACAGCGTATTCTTAACACAGCAGATAAAAGATTTAATTGCATTCTATTACTCTGTTTAATACCTATAAGCTCTCAACTCAACATTGGCATTGAAATGAGGCAGTATTTAGAGAGTAATACCAAAGTTCGCTAATTCTTGAAATGTCGAAGTCATTTGGTCCCTAGGGCATCTTTGAAGAGCAATGGCTCTAGTATGGAGAAGTTCCTTAACACGCTGGGTATTGGTAGACAACCACGGACCGAGTTTCATTGGTTTGAATGATATCAATCTTCTTTTTTCTTCCGCTACTCAACTATATGGCAAGTCTGCACAGACCCGATTTCGTCAACTTTGAATTTTCTCCTGTGCCTTCTGGGGACATCAAAAAGATCATCCGGTGTGTCTATTGTACCGCAATGGTTTGTAAACCGTAAGGTGATAGCTACACGGGGAGTCGAAACCACCAGTTTTAAAGGAAAATCCACTAGGTTGGCAACACTGCGTTTAACCCAACTTCTCTGTGCGTTTTTCACGCATTTCTATGACAATTGACAGTAATGACAAAGGCGTCAGCGAGTGATGACACTTCAGTGACACTTATGTTTTTATCATACTTTGAGACCATAAACTTCTACTAACTACTACCATAAAACTAACAAATGCAAAATTTGAAGAGCTTATTTCACATATAAATTATTCAGAAGTCTTTCTTATCTTAGAACATTCAAATAATTTGAATTCTCTTTACATGATTATGTTACTAATATTTGTATAATCTATCAAGAAGCAGCTTCGATCTTATTTCATTTAAAACGCCGAATGTATACATTGAGCGTTTTGAACTGTAAGATGGCAGAGCGGAATAAATGTAACGGTAGCTGAAAACATCTCCTGTTTGATTAATTACAATTTACATTGCAGTTTATGAGCGTATGCGGTATTTTTAAATACTTTACACATTGTGATATCATAAGAAAATTGAATAATTTTGCGGCAAAAAATTCTAATGATTTTCGGCTCAGAATGATGGTCTGAATACACTATTTCAGTATTCGTTACGACGTACCTTGTCCATCCAGTATATTTGTTTCTGCAGGTACGTTATCAATATTTAAAACGTTAAGAAACAACAAACCCAAAATAAAATTTCATGAAGTTATACATTTTTTTATTGAGATTTAACTGTGCCTCAAATAATAACACCAACAACGAGGACATTTATTGAATTAATAAAAACTACAAAAGTGTTTCATCAACAGCCTATAACAGTCCACTGCTGGACATAGGCCTCTCCTTAGAAAGGAGGTTTTGGCCCTACTATACCACGCTGGCCAAACGGGTTGATATAGGGTTTGTTCCAAGTTTTCCTTCTCTTTGCAGTGTTGTTGTCCTGCGCAGTTTGCTCCCTTAGTCGGCTCTTACGACACCCTCGGGATGAATGAGGGTGGTGAAAAAAGTGTTTATATTGATCGAAACCAAAATATCTATGTTCTAAAATATTTTTTAATCTCTTTATAACTTTCTCTGGACAATTCGTTGGTATCGCAAATTTACTTATAAAATGACCAATGCCCATTTCTTGGAAACAAGGGCCAAAGGTAATTTTTGGTGGGGTTTACCATAATGGGTAGTTATTAAATAGGTACACACTACATGACTACACTTATTACTGTACAACTGTGCATACTACAATTTATTTCAAAAGATTCTCTTTCTATTTCTGCTCTGAATAGTAGGCATATGTCTATTTGTTTTGTTAAATTGCTTCTATTTATAATATATGTCCATTTAAACAGGTACCACGTACGTACTACTAATAAATTCGTGTTGCAAAATCCACCGACCAAGCTACGATTAGTTTAGCGCAAGATGTGGAATAAACAGATAATAATTATGTAGGTAGGTCAAAGGTGTCGGACTATTACTAGACGCATCTTAGCATCGCGTTGTGTTAAAAGTTTTAAGCAAATTCCGAAGAACGTTAAGCACGACCTTCAATTACTGGCACAGAAAGAGGTTCGCCACGTGCCGTAAGTTAAGCAATAAATAGGCTAATAGCTACCCGAAGGTTAAGACACCCTGCCGGCTGCCTGTGTCATATCGAATGCATGATGTCATTCAACAATATAAAATATAAACATAACCTTCGACGGCTGTTACGTCATTTCGCTATTTTAATCGAGCATGTTGTGTTGAAACCCGACTTAATTAAATATTACAGCAACTCTTATTTGGCTACTTTAGCGTGCTCATTTTTTATTTAGTCCGGTTACATCGTAGTATTTTCGTTCGATAATACGACTATTTTGTAATGTAAATATTTTTATACTGCTGAGGAAGAGGAACACGACCTTTTTCTTAAACAGGGTTATATCAAAGCGTTCCCGCCTTAGCGAATGTTTTTGAAACGAACCAGTCAATTTGGAATCTCTTCAAAGGAAGCAAGTGTTTTTTAGTAAATAAAAAAAAAATTGCGTGATATTGTGCTAGTCGAGTTATTTTAAGGATTTTGTTTAATATTTCAATTTAATCGTGAGTATTTTACCACTATTATTAAGCATAACCTGTCGCTATGCACTGTCGCTATGCAATGTATTTAGACATTTTTACCTTTTTGTATTACTAATTTGGATATTTATGTGACTATGACATCATTTTCAATACAATTACGTGTGGAGTAATAGGTAGGTACCTATTTACTTTTAAATTTTTTGTGCGTAAGTAGCACGGCGTAGTAGTCTGGTCTGAAACGTGTAGGTATGTTACTTCTTAGGTACCTACATATTTTTGGAACTTCATACGGTTTTTAAACACGCTTTTATTAGCATCACTTGTAAATAGATGTAACTGACTGAATACCAAGATCTATTTGTATTGTCCTCGATATAAAAATGACTTTGTATGTAGGTATACCTATGTAGTTTGTATGACTCCTCTATCATTTGGGGTTGATCTCGCATGAAACCAGGAGTTGAGTAGTAGTAGTATTCAGTGGGTGCTAGCCCTATCGAGTTTTAACTCTACGGTTCGACTCGGTTCTATTCTATTTTATATTCTCTTTATTTATTTACTTCTTTTTGCACATCACATCATCATCAACAGCCTATACTAGTCCACTGCTGGACATAGGCCTCTGCTTAGAAAGGAGGTTTTGGCCTACTATTTATACCACGCTGGCCAGACGGGTTGGTATAGGGTGTGTTTCAAGTTTTCCTTCTCTTTGCAGTGCTGTTGTCCTGCTTAGTTTGCTCCCTTAGTCGGCTCTTACGACACCCACGGGATGAATTGGGGTGGTGACAATTTGTATTCTTAATCCGTCACCACACGGACTCGGACGGATTTTGCACAAATAACAACTAATAGTACAATGGCGGATGTTTTTTTTCATGTATGTATAGATATGCACTGCGATTAAACGACATGTATTGTCGTTTAATCGCAGTGCACGAGGTTCCTTCCAGCTGTATGGCAAGAAGACATCTTGTTGTATTTGAGTGATAAAGAAATCATATTATAATATGACATGATTTTGGCGCAGTGAAGACGTTGATGAAGTCCGTGTGGTGATGGATTAAGAGTACAGAGTGTCGATAGTCGGTAAAGACATTACAGCGCGGAAGTATTACAATACTTATAAAAACTTTCGCAGTTATAAAGTTAGCTAGAATTTGATGCTAAATCCTACCTCGTTGGTTTTATTTAAATAAAAATATTAGAACCTGGGAGCCCTTCAAACCTTCAAGAAAAGAGTGTTCCTCAAGGGCCGGCAACGCGCTAGTGCCTCCTGAGCTGCAGGTGTTCATGGGCGGCGGTAGTCACTTTCCATCGTTCCAATTGACCCGTCTGCTCGTCTGCCCCCTCTACCCTAAATAAAGACCTATGCATACCTAGACGTGTGATCACACGGCTTCACCAACAACCGGTGTATAGGAAGTCCTTCGTTCGAGTGAGTAAAGTTACCCGAGGACTAAACCCTCTCCTCTCCTCTAAATCCAGGGGGGTGGGCAAATAAAGGGCTTCAACACATTCAGGTCATAGAGCTGCAGGTGTCCATAGGCGGCGGTCATCATTCGGTGACCCGTCTGCTCGTATGTCCCCTCATATCATAAAAAAACTCACCCATACATTAGTAATCTAATTTTACACAAGTGTATCGTACATCTCCATACGTCAGTTTCGTAAAAATAAATTTCTAAAACAATGTAAAATTTGTGCAAGTTAGAAGCTAAATTAACACATTTAGTCATGCATTACAGACGAAAAAATAACTCGTAAATAAAAACAATGATTTATTATCAGTTTTGATCCATACTTTGTACCTTTGTACAAGGAAGACTGCTAATGCTGACAGGCTAGCGGCTTCAGTACCTAACTTTCTTCTAGTAGACGGATCATGGCTCGTTTTAAACGTAACGCTATACTACTCTTCATCTGACCGAGTCCAGCTCTCCCGTGTGTCTGTCCGATCTACTTGACAGCTTCTAAAAGAGTGCCCTTCAATGCAGGAATTAAAACCATTGCATCTCCAAAAGATCCTGCTTAAGTGACTCGTGATGTCACGGCATATATTTACGTGTATATACGTTGCC